TTAAATTAAAAAAATACTAAGGAAAGAAAAAATATATGAGTCAGAAGAAACTTGATAGCATGATGAAAATTATTTACACTGTTACTTTCAATTGTAATCAGATTTATGAGAATGTAAGATTTTTTTCCATCCTATTTTCTCCTTTTCTATATAATAACTTCTCATTGATAAGGAGATGACTATCCTTTTTTTTTAATACATTTATTTATTTGATCAAAGGGGAAAAAGTGATCTGAAAGAATGTGGAAATTATCAAACAATATAATAAATATCACACACAAGAAAAGTTTTGCTAAAGATGATCCAAAAATGACTGGAACAGCATATTAACAGAGAACTACCAGAAACATAGAGTGGGTTTAAAAGAGGCCGTGGCACGATAGATTGACATGGTAACGGGGACAATGAGATTAGATATGTTGGAGTCAGTGAGACTGGCTCAGAGTAGGACAGGGTTCAGAGCTGTTATACAAAGAATCACTGTGAGTCATGGGTGACTTGATGGCACATAACAACAACATTCTTAGCAGTATATTAGCTGGGTCATATGGAATTTTTATTTTCAGCTTTTTGAGGAAATGCCAACTGCCTTCCAGACTGGTGTGTCATTTTATGATCCCTCCAATGGTGTATGAGAGTTCCTTTCTCTCTGCATCCTCTTAAACATTTATTTCTTGCTGTTCTGTTAAACTTTGTCACTGCTAATGGGTTGAAATGGTATCTCATTGTGGTTTTGATTTGTATCTCTCTTATTGTCAGTGATTTTGAGCATTTCTTCATGTGTCCATTGGCCATCTGAATATCTTCACCTGTGAAATGTTTTTCAATGTCTTCTACCCATTTTGTAATTGGGTTATCAGTCTTTTTCTTGTGGAGGCCCTGTAGTATTTTGTAAACTTTTGTTTAAGAGACTTTTGTCTGAAATGATAATTGTCAAACTTTTTTTTTCCCAATTAGTAGGAACTAATGAAATATTACACAAAATAGGTGACCATGGAGGACATTATGCTGAGTGAAATATCTCAGTCACCTGGTTGGAAAAAGGTTTTAAGGCACACGGGGATATAATTTATAGATTATATTAATCGATTTTATTCTTTCCTGGTTGTGTATTTTTTACTGTATTTGTTAGTTTCTTTATACCATGGGCTAGGCCTTCTAAACTTGTTCCCACTTTGTCTTATATGATTTTTATGGTTTTAGGCTCTACCAGTTGGTCTGTGATCCACCTTGAGCTGATTTTTGTGTATAGTGAGAGGTATGGATCCTGCTTTAGCTTTCTGCAGTTAGCAGTCCAGTTTGCCAACACTGTTTGTTGAAGAGGTTGTCGTTTCCCCATTTGATAAGTTTTGTTTCCTTGTCAGTTATCCATTGAGCATAGATTTTATTATTGTTGTTATGTGCCATAACCAATAGTGACCCTATGTACAGCAACTCTCAGTCCTGCTCTGTTCTGAGCCTACTCAGTAATTGTGACACACCAACCCGCATTGCCCTAGTTACTGTATCAATCCATCTCACCTAGGTCTTCCTCTGCTGCGCTGTCCCTCTACCCT